CACTATGACTTACCTCCAGAGATCCTGTGTGGAGATGAGTTCCAGAAGGGCAACCATCACTGTAGCTCTCCACCGTTTTGCTTAAAAGTACCTGAAGGATTCTCAGACTGTGAGAAACAAGATTCTCTGGTCCAACGAAACCAAGATTGAACTGTTTGGCTTCAGTCCTAAACGTTACATCTGGAGGAAACCAGGCATCATGCTGTGGGGGTGTTTTTCAGCAGCAGGGGCTGGGAGACTGATCAGGGTTGAGGGAAAGCTGAATGGAGCAGTACAAGAATATCCTCAATGAAAACCTGTTCCACAGCACTCAGGACTTCAGGCTAGGCCGAAGGCTCACTTTCAAACATGACAACGATCCTAAGAACACAGTCAAGACAACATAGGAGTGGCTTAGGGACAACTGTGTGAATGTCCTAGAGTGGCCTGGCCAGAGCCATGACTTCAACCCTATTGAACATCTCTGGAGGGATCTAAAAATGGCTGTCTAATGACAGTTGCCATCTACATTTGCAAGGAAGAATGGCAGAAAAACCCCCATTACAGGTGTGCAAAATTTGTCGTGTCATATTCAAAAATTCTTAAGCCTTTAATTGCTGCCAAAGGTGCTTCAACAAAGTACTGAGTGAAGGGTCTGAATGCTTATGCCAGGGGTAGGCAACCCAAAACACTTAAAGAGCCACTTGGACCCGTTTTCCACCAAAAACAAAACACTGGGAGCCGCAAAACCATTTTGATATCTAAAATGAAGATAACACTGAATATATCCTTTTTTACCTTTATTATAGGTGTGTGTGTGTTTGTGTGTGTGTATGTATGTGTGTGTGTGTATATATATATATGTGTGTGTGTGTGTGTGTGTATATATATATGTATGTGTGTGTATATATATATATATATATATATATATATATATATATATATATATATATATATATATATGTAGGTCTTTGGTTGTTAGGGTTTTCTCCCGCGTAAAATTGGAAGTGTCTTGGCGACCTGTGGCTTATGCCAATGTGATATTTCAGTTTTTCCTTTTTCATAAATTTACAGACATTTCTAAAATTCTGTTTTTTGTCATTATGGGGTACTGAATGTAGATCAATGAGAAAAATTAATTTCAACAACTGTAGAATCAGGCTGCAGCATAATAAAATTGTCAAAAGTGAAGGGAGTATGAATACTTTCTGAATGCACTGTAAGACTTCTAGACTCAGGGATAAATCTGTTGAATAATTGTAATAATATATAATACTATAAAAATAATTAGTTATGAGATCTCTGTAAACTATAAGAAATACAGTGATGTGTAATTGTTATGCTTTTAATGAAAAATCAGTGGTTGTGAGAAGGGTTAGAATGGATTTTTAAATCACTAGGAAAAGACCATATTGAAATCAAAACAAAAGCAATGTCTTAAAGAATTTCTTACGACTAAATATAAATCATATAAAAACAGGGATAAGTTGTAAAACTTAGAAGTTGAACAACACTGGTACTAGAATGTATAGTAATTATAACAATTATGCTGTATATTGTAGCTGAGTAGTTAGATTGTAATGATAAAATATGCTCTGAGACAAGGAATATAATAACTGTTCCTATTTTGAAAATGTAGAATATATATTTCATGAATTAATTATGCACTAGATAACATGTGGAGCATTTCAAATTATCCTTTTTGTTTTGTCGCTCATCTTAATTGAATATACCCTACTATCATTAAGATGAGATTGTGAAAATGCCTTTTTGCCATCTTTGTGGACCATGAATATTTTTCAATTTTAGGCCACATCCTGATCACCTTTGTTATAACTATTTCCTTTGGTTGAGGTTTAATTAGTTACATCATCTCTTAGGTTGCATCATCTCTTAGATATCAATTTAATCAATTGCAATGATTTTGTCGATGCATTTTTGACACCTCAAAACAACTCAACCTGGGCTGCCACTTCAGGAAAGCTCTTTAACCCATCTTTTCCCCATCAGAAGTTACAAATAAATTTTAGATATGAATTTTAAGGCTGTAACAAGAAAATATGTGTGTGTGTGTATGTGTATGTATATGTATGTATGTGTGTGTACATATATACACACAGACACACACACACACACACCAAAAAGGTAATTAGAATCCTGATTTTGGAAAGTTATAAATAGACTAAATTTGAATTACTAATACAGATTGGATGCAATGAAGGACCCTGAAGTTAATTTAAAGAGTATCTGCCAAAATGGATACTTAAAAAAAAAAAGAAAGAAAGAAACAAATGGTATGGAAGAGGAACAAGAGTTATCATATAAGACTGAGACTGATCTGAAAATGGTTTTAAGAATGAAGGGCTACAAGAATGATATGGAAAAAAATAACTGGATATACCAAAGAAACTGGCTGATGTCTTAGTAATTAAAAGGGATATAGAAATAACAAAGAGTGACTTGGATAACTTTACTGTATTGGATATATAAAAGAGTTTTCTTGAAATCATGAAGAATTTTAATGCAAAAAGATAAAATAAACTGAATATAAATCATGTTCTGGGACATTTTTTGAAGGAAGGGATTAAAAATCAATAATAAGAATAATAATAGTTGGAAGGGACCTTGAGGTCATCTAGTCCAACCCCCTGCTCAGGCAGGAAACCCTATACCATTTCAGACAAATGGCTTTCCAGTCTCTTCTTAAAAACGTCCAGTATTGGAGCATTCACAGCTTCTGCAGGCAGATTGTGAAAGGAGGGGATTTAAAATTAGTTTATTTGATTAAAATAACATTAAAATAGATATGTTGTCATCTCTGGTAACTTTTAATGGACTTTAAGGTTTAAGGATTCATTTACACAGAAGAGATAAGAGAAGAAAGAAGAGATAATTTGTATTTTAAGAGAAAATGATAATTTGCTAAAATTGTTTATACTTGTGATGAAGGGGGAAGTCATTTATTTATATATGCCTATATTTTTCTGTATTTTCTTTATTTTAATTTTTTTTTTAATTGTAATGTTTAATAAAATTATTTTTAAAAAGTCTAATATTCTTTCCATTTTTCTTCTTATAAATACCCTGTTAAGATTTCTCCTACATTTTGAGAATTTAGTGGACCTTTGTGGAGGGAGGCTATTTATGGGTCCCTATATTGATATGATTGTAAATAGCAAGTTTGTTTCTTGGATAGCTTGGTGCTGTGATTGGTAAGGAAATGCAATTATTGCTCTTGAGAAAGAAGGGGAAGCAAAAGTGATTGGGATAAAAAGGAAAGCTGATGAAAAACAGAAAGCTCCAAAATATAAAATAGAACCATGGAAAAAGGAAAAGGGATTAGCAGATAGGAACTGAAGAATTGTCAACTAAGATTATCCAAAATAATATGATTATCTGACTACACAGGTGCCACAATCTGCAAGAGCAGCAAGGCTTATGGCTTTCTACAGTAAGACACATGGAAAATTAAGAAGGATAATCTATTGTGATATAAAAGGGGACTTCTTAATAGCTGTGTTACAGCTATCAGAAATGTTCATACCAGTGCTAGATTTAGTATATAGACATTGCATCTGCAAGAATAATGAAAAAATGGCAGTATTGGAAAGCGAATGCTTTTACTCACTCATGTTGGAAGCACCAAGAATTAGCCAGTGACATCACTGTTGCCTGGGGGATGCCCAGTTGGGGGTTCCTTTCATGTCTCCATTAATGTGCCCACAGAAGTGGTGCCTATCTATCTACTTGTGGTTGCACTCTTTCATACTGCTAGGTTGGCAAGAGCTGGAACTCATAGAATTTTACTGTGTTTCAGAAATAATTTAGAAACGATTCTTTTCCCCCCAATATATGGCTACATAAACTTGCAGGCAGGTTGCTACATTCATACCCACTCACATTCTAAAACATTATCAAGGAAAGCATCTAGGCACTGAACTGTGCAAAAAAGAACCAAACCCTAATATTCAGATAAATAAAATGTAATTCTAATATCTTAAGAAGAAGAAAAAATGTGAATGCAAATAATAATAGAATAGATTTCTACCCCTGTGTTTTCTAAAAGTTATAAAATAGGTTACTTTATAATTGCTTAATAGTAACTGTTCGTGGAAGAAGAATATTTGATGATAAATATACTTCGTTGAGGGTGTCCTAAGGAAATGTACCGGCACATAAATTGATGGAAATAAATGTAGTCACTAATTAATAATAATAATAATAATAATATAACAATAATAGTAAAGTTGAAAGGGACTTTGGAGATCATCTAGTCCAACCCCCTGCTCAGGCTGGAAACCCTATACCATTTCGGACAAATGGCTGTCCAGTCTCTTCTTAAAAACTTCCAGTGTTGGAGCATTCACCACTTCTGGAGGCAGGTTGTTCCACTGGTTGATTGTTCAAACTGTCAGGAAGTTTCTCCTTAGTTCTAGGTTGCTTCTCTCCTTGATTAGTTTCCATCCGTTGCTTCTTGTCCTGCTTCAGGCACTTTGGAAAATAGCTTGACTTCCTCTTCTTTGTGGCAGCCTAGATTTTATAAATTAGATTTATAAAACACGTTTTAATTACTTATCCAACTCTATCTGATTAATATGGATAGATGATATACAGTCTTGAACATTGATGATGCTTAACTGTGTACTGGACCTTAAAGTTGAGAGTCTTAGGGGAACATGTTAGATAAGGAAAAGTTAGTACAGCAGCATAGGAATCTTGGTAGAGAATATATAGCTTCTCAAAAGTTTGCCATTGATCAAATAGGTGACTACCAAGAACTGAATTATGTTTCCTGGCTTCCCATGCCCAGTCTTCAGGAATTTAACCTTTGGGGCTTTTTCAGTTGTCATTTAAACGTTTAGTTGCTAAAGTTTCAGACGTTCAGTGTCTTCATTTTTAATAAAATTGTTATATGTGAATGCATGTATGTAAGATTGATGCAACCTAACTGGCAGATGATAGTTTTCTGTTTTTTTCTATGTTGCTGTTGTTTACTATTAATTATTGTTTATTGTCTACAGGTATCAAAAAATACGTTGTTGGCTTAATTATCAAGACCTCCTCTGATCCATCGTGTGTTGAAGTGAGTAAGAGTTCCTTGGGGATAAGAAGATGGTCCTTGCAAATGAAATAGAATATGTCTTAATTTCTTATTTTTCTCTCTTATTTTCTCCCTTCTCCCTCATTCAGAAAGAGAAAGTATACATTGGGAAATTGAACATGATTCTTGTTCAGGTGGGTCGAATTTGTGGTCTTTATATATTAGTGTAAGTCTGGAGTAATAATTATTCACTGTATTCACTTTTAATGTTTTGCAGATACTAAAACAAGAATGGCCAAAACATTGGCCAACATTCATCAGTGATATTGTTGGGGCCAGCAGAACAAGTGAAAGCCTTTGCCAGAACAACATGGTCATCCTGAAGCTATTGAGTGAAGAGGTTTTTGATTTTTCCAGTGGACAGATAACTCAAGTGAAAGCCAAACATTTAAAGGACAGGCAAGTGATTATATAAGGGATATATCAGAAATGCAATTCTGAATTGTAATGAAAGGCAAATCAAATTCTTCACCTAATGTTAAGAACTTTGAACATAAGAAAGTAGTATCAGTTAAGATCCTTTTTTAAAAAATTCTGTTTCTTGATTCCAAGGAGCCGTTATTTCCCATTTCCTCTGTCATAGACAAAAATAGTTTATCCACCTCTTACTTTCCTGTGCCAAAGAAGATACATGTCCAAACAACTCCATAGTAGCTGAGGTGCCTCACTTAAAAAATGAGATGAGCCTTGCTCTATTTTGTCCAGAATTTTCTACCTAGGCAATCATTCTGCATCTTTGGTGAAGGTGCAGAATTTTGTTTGGTGATTATGCCAGTTTTATCTATACCCTTTCTTTTTTGGGAGAAAGGGGATAGTCATTTTTTTAGATTCAACAGCTGGAGATTTTCAATTTCTTATGGATACATATAGACTGTTGAACTGATTTCTAATCACGGTCTTTGTCTTGAATATATTTATAAGGATTTCATAAGCATCCTTTTGTAATTTAACTGGGTTTGCATTATTTTAAAGTTGTAGAAGTTGAAGCTTTTATTTTAAAAGGTAGCTTAAATGTTTACTCTGTCATTTAATTCATATTTAGTTATTGTATTAGCAATAATATGGCATGATAATAACAAACAGCTAGAGTAGTGATGGCGAACCTTTTAGAGACTGAGTGTCCAAATTGCAACCCAAAACCCACTTATGTATCATTGGGTGCTGGGTGGGTATGGCTGCAGTGGTAACAACAGACTGGGTGGGACTAAAAAGTTCAATCAATCAATTCCAACTTTGTGAGATCTTTTTTTTCCCCACCAGAAGTTGAAATTGATTGATTGAACCTCTTTTTTTTTTTTTTTTTTGCACATGGTGGTGGAGGCCTAAAGTGAAAAGGTTTTATAAAACCCAGCTGAAGGCCTAGGACTGGGGCGACGGCACACGTGCCCACAAAGAGGGCTCTGTGTGCCAGCTGTAGCATGCGTGCCATAGGTTCCCCACCACAGAGCTAGAGAATCCCTGCTGAAGGGCCCCTCGTGTCATTAGGTGCAGTGAGAGTGGACAAGACGGCAGGAGTTCTCTGTTGGGACTCCCCTTCTCAATAACAACTCGCCCATCCAAGGTGAGGGTGATTCCCATTTATGAGCTCCTGGATGCTTACAAAGACTATTCCAAAGAGTCTTTGGGGATTGATTAATGTTATCATTGTATATTGTTTGAGTGAAAATAAAATATTGCCATGTCCCCATACATTAAAAAAATACTCTACATAGGGTGTATTTACTTTTTCACGTCACCGTAACTTATATTATGTGAAATGCATTAATATCTATATTCCACTTTAGTCCTATATATTAAGATGGTAAATAAATTGCCTAATACTAAACTTGATTATTTTTTCTTACTACTAGCATGTGCAATGAATTCTCCCAGATATTTCAGCTATGTCAGTTTGTGATGGTAAGTTTTATAATATAATTGTTGTTTGTAAGGTACCACTTCACAATATAGGTGAATTTGCTCACATATTATTTTATTAATAGGAGAACTCTCAAAATGCTCCTCTTGTTCATGCAACATTGGAAACTTTACTTCGATTTCTCAACTGGATTCCACTGGGCTATATTTTTGAGACCAAATTGATCAGTACATTAATATACAAAGTAAGTATTGCTATGTGTAGATTAATTTACTGAGAACAAAAATTAGTTCTTGACTGCCTAATAAACAAGACATTGCAGCTTATGTTGTTTTTTCTTCTTTTATAGTTTTTAAATGTTCCTATGTTCCGAAATGTTTCATTGAAGTGCCTGACAGAAATTGCTGGTGTCAGTGTGAGTCAGTATGAGGAACAATTTGTCACACTTTTTACTTTAACCATGATGCAGTTGAAACAGGTAACTTCCACCTTCAACTATTGATCTTTTCTATTTGCTTATTAAATAAGTAGCAGGTTTCCTTTTATTTTTCCTGCTCACATTGAATAAGCTGCTCTTGGCTTTTTTAAAAGCATTTCCCCCATAGAAGCCTTTTTTTAAATCCTGAGAAACTGCAAAAGCTTTAATACACAATTACACATTAATAACTACAAAATGTTATGTGCATGGTAATATATGGGCTGTATTCAGACTCTGTCTTGAGAGGAGATAATCATTAGCTTTGGGCTGGACTTTGTGTAAGATCTGAGATCCTTTTGGCCCTAAAATGCTTCAGAGTGTAACTTCTAATTGAATTTGTATGGTACCCAGAATCATTTCTTATGAATGGATGGCTATATAAATTTGATTTATAAATAAAAAATTGTAAGGGATTAAGTTCCTATGCCATTCAAAAAAGTCAGGACTGTGTCATTTAAAATGTTTTACGAAATTATTTTTCTATTCCACCTTCCATTTACAACTATTTTATTGACATTAACCTTACTTATTATTGCTATTACTATCAATTACTACCAGAAAATTTTATAGCCATGTTTAACCACAGATAGCTTGTTAGGTACATTCCTGCTCACAATCTGCTGAAATTCTGTCATTGGAAATTGTTACCTCTGACTTATGCATCTGGTCCACTTAGAAATTCTCCTAGTTCAAAGCTTGATGTATCCATTCAAGAAATTTTACAGAGTGTCCCAGACTGCCAGTTTGGATAGATTTTATTCTTTGGGGACCTATTTTAATCACATTTCTGTTCTGGGCTGTTGCAGATTTTATTCATAAACTAAGCTTTAATAGCTAGCATTTCCTGGGATTCTACAGGATGATCACTCAGTTAACTTAAGAGCATCATGTCATTTTAGTTAAATAATCAGAAATATAATTGTGTTGATGCATTATTGATTGAATTTGCTTAAGTGCCAGTCACTCCCAAAGGCTTTGATAGTTTATAAATATATAAAATAACGAAGATATTCATATAAAAAAATATAAACACTAGGTGCCTGTGAACCTCAGCTGCAATTAGAATACCCTTCTCCAGTGTAATTAGAAAATGATTTTACTAAAATCTAAGTGGGACAGAGCCAATTGAATAGGGCGGAGTTCCAAAGAGCAGATGGCTATTGAAAGTTACTATAGATCCAAAATTGTCCAATTCAGATTAGGCAAAACTTGAGCAGGGGGTTTATCACATCTTGATTAGAGGTGACGGGGAAAGAAGGATTGATTACTGACTGGTGGCAATCTGCCAACTCATGGGAGGCCTTGACCAACCATGAAGATCCCATCCACAGTCTTCGGACTCACTGACATAAAATAATTCCACTTCATAAGACAAGACCCCAGTCATCTCTTCAGGTGCTGTCCAGCTGGAATCAAGTTCTTCCTCATGTTTAGGAGTGGTTTTGTCTGCTAAATGCTGCAAGAATTCTTCACAGTTATTCTTCAAATGGTCTTGATGAATATTCTTCTATTGAAGAGATGGAGTCATCTTAAAAAAGGCCAAAGGGTAGCATTAACCCAATGTCATGACTAGCAAAATGCTTCCTTTTTGCTGCTTGAATCACTGCTATATATACACCAATGTAAGCTTATGCTTGTAGAAATCAGACTGAAGATAGATGTTCCCCCAGGAACATTCTAGGCATGTCTGCTACTTGATTTACCTAAACTGCTCAGTAACCAGTGAGCTGCAATGAATCTGCCAACAAGAGATGCCCCTCCAGTACAATCCAGTCCATCACTCTGGAGACCTCTATTCCATTAGATGACCAGAAGTTCATCCGAATGGCCCATCAAATCCTTGGGAAATTCATCAAAAGACCTCTGAAAAGCCAAAAAATCCATAAGACAGCTGCAGCAGGCTGATTTAATAGGTGTTCCTCTGCTGCAGGGGGGAGTTGCACTACAAAATTCCATAGTTTAATGGGAGGTCTCTCATGTGTCAGTGCCATGATTGCCATAGCAGCCATGAATTCCAGAACCACTCCAGACCTCCTGCTGAAGAAAGGTAGGTTCAAGTCCCACATTATTGTATCTGGGAAAACTCCACCATCATAACAATCAAGAATAGGTGATACAGTAGTAGCAGTAATGCACAACCAGCAAACCAAACTGGCCTCTAGCCCAGCTGAATTTATTCCAATTATCTATAGCGTAGCACATCTTAAGTCTCAGATTACAACTCCTCCTTACCTGTTGCCTGTCTAGGAACTGCGTCTGTTGCACATGTCAAAAACCAGGTGAGCAGATTTCCAATAGAGAAACATGTCATCCTCTTGCACTCAGGTTTCAGTAATAATAGGCACAGTAAAAGGAATACATTTGAATGGTTAATCTGCTCAAAATCAGCCTTAACATTATATCTCTGAATACTATACTATCTTTAGCTGAAAATACATGTGGGACTTGCAAGTGGACTGAAATTTTATTCCTCTCAGTTGAATTATTTATAGCTTTAATCCAAAGAAAAATAAATCAGAATATTTAAGCAGAGCTTTGTTACAATAAGCTTTGTTAATATTAGTTGTCATTTCTGAAGTGTTATACTATCTTTGAAGTCTAGTTTTGTGTATAGATGAGAATTTTCATGAGTTTCTCAGATGAAAGTTGGTTAGGAAGTATTTTATAACTCCAGGGCGGCCTTCCTTAACTGGGGTTCTATGGGAGATTGTGATTTTAAAAAATACATTTTTTGACCTTTATATACCGTGCTCAAATTTTAATGCTCTGACACTCAGTGGCAACCTGCTGTTTTGCTGTTGTAATCATTGCAAAACGGATTGTAGATTAGAAGTGAATTATATATGGGAAGTTTTCATATTTTTTGCAAATTTTATGTAAGGATTTACTGAGATCAGAAAATTTTGTCAAAAGTTCCTCCAAGATAGAAAGGTTAAGAAAGTCTGCTCTGAGGAATAAATACAATGTCTTTGTTTATGTATGTTTTATAATGGCAAGACTTAACTGATCAAAATTATAACTACATTTTACTTTTCTTAGATGCTTCCTTTGAACACCAATATTCGACTAGCATATTCCAATGGAAAAGATGATGAACAGAATTTCATTCAGAACCTCAGCTTGTTTCTTTGTACCTTTTTAAAAGAGCATGGCCAACTTATAGAAAAACGTTTAAATCTGAGAGAAACGTTAATGGAAGTAAGTTCCTTTTTATTTTTATTCACATCTATGTCAAAGTGAAGATGTGGGGAACAAGTACTAAAACTTGGTTTGTGACAAGATGTAAAATAGACCAGGTTGCTTATTTCTATTCCATTTTAGTTTATCTCTCTATCTCATAAGTTTGATTAAAACTTGAGAGCTGGGAGTCAACCACGATGGCAGTCCTACCGTGAGTAGGAAACCTCATAAATCAATTCCTCAAGTATTTTTCTGTCAACTTGGCAATTGTTCCAGTCCAGATATTTATCTTGTACCTTATCAGTGCAGATACTGTAACTGCATAAGAAATTGTAAACTTTTTTTTAAAAAAATCTGGCTGTCACCTTTTTCATTTTTTAAAATATTTTTTATCTCTGAGTGTTTCAGAGATAAACACTCTCTGAAATGTATTACCAGATGAACAGAGTTAAGGTATTTGATTGTTTGGTGATTTGGATGCGGGGATGGGCTATCCTAAGATGAAAACAATGCATTTAGCTTCATAGTATAAGAACTTAGTTTACAAGAAAAGATATAAATATTGTACAAAAGCCATTTGGCTTTCAAATTTTAAAGGCAAAATCTGGGACTGCACATAGGACTATATGCAGCTGGTAGCATTGATTATGCTTGCAGATGCTTCTTATGGGCCTCAGATAAGGGAGATATAAGTCTCCTGAAAATACCTCATTTATCTGGTTTTGCTACAATCAATCATGGAATCCTGTTGGAGCATCCCTGGGCATGCGAGGCACTGTGGTAACCTTACCTCCCAGGACAGTTGTGATGGTGTTGTAGAGATGGCAATTAACCCTTATTTTGTGCAGTTCCTTGGGGATTAGCATTTTTCCCATGAGGCATTAGATGAAATAATATTAGTATGGGGCCAGACATCAGTATACAGATATTAGGTGATATTGTGGTGAATCTGTCCCATTGCCATTAGGTGGCTATTAAATTATGGGTGGGAAGAAACTTAATAATGAAAAGACCAAATTAGTTTGGATTCAATCACCTTATATTTCTGGAGGATCTCCATTTTTACTGATGGAAATGCACTTTGCTATACAAATTGTGCTCATGATTTGGGAGTCATGCTGCCTTTACTCAACAAGCAATTGAAACAACAGCTTGAATAATGTTTGCATAGATGCATCTGGTGCATAATCAGGATGTCCTTCTTCAAGTCACTCATGACTTAGTCACTTCTCACTTGGACTACTATACATGGGATTCCACCTGGAAATCAGAGCTTAGTCCAAAATGCAGTGGCACAAATTTATTTGATCTGTTTATATCACATTTACATCCCACTGCAGTTATATGCAGAATCTTGACTGGTTACCTGCTGGCTTCTAGCAGTTCAAGATATTGACTATTATCTGTAAACCTCTGCGTAACTCAGAGCCTAGAAACGTACAGGACTGCCATTCTCCAATTAAGTGATGTCATATGGGACTTCTACTTTGTGGCTGCCTCTGCATTCTGATAATAGCATTCTCCACAAAATTTGCATTGATCTTGTGATAGATTAATTTGTGGACACTCTTCAAATATTGTCTTAATTTTGATTGATTGTGGAGTTGTTTTGTTTCCCCAACATGGTTCCATATTTCTTGAATTATTTTTTTCCTTTGTTGTTTTAAATTGCATTCATTTAATGTTGTGCATTACTTCTATGATTAGGCAGCTTATAAGTAACTTGATTGAATGCATGAATGAAACTGCCTGCCCTGATTTTTGAATTCTTTCATCTGAACATGGTCCTTTTTATTTTTCTGTTGCTTTTAGTGATTGGTGTGGATAAACTATTAATTGGTGTTGATTGGTTGGTTGGTAGTTTTTGAAAAGGTAAATACAGACAGATTAGAGCAGAAACAGCCTTTTCTGTTCACTCGCCTCATCTATTGTATTTGCAATTTAATGCAATAACTTAAATGACAAAATGAAAAAAAATGCTGGAATTCTATTTTTTATGTATTCAGTTTCAGCAATTTTTTACTTTTCTTTTTGGAGAAGGTTGTAAGTACAATTTCAGAGCAGTTTTATAACTACTTCATTTTAGGGATGCTTTAAAATAATCTGAGCAATTTCTAAATCTTTTATTAATTAAGCTCCAAAATAAATTTATATTAGGCTCTCCATTACATGTTGCTGGTATCTGAAGTTGAAGAAACTGAAATCTTCAAGATTTGTCTGGAGTATTGGAATCATCTGGCTGCTGAATTATATAGGGAGAGTCCATTTTCAACATCAGCTTCTCCATTGCTATCAGGCACTCAGCATTTTGATGTTCCTCCCAGGAGACAACTTTATTTGCCTGTCCTGTCTAAGGTAATTGTAATCTCCAGTTTATTTATATATTCTGTAAGTATGAAAGAGTTTACTGCAGTGCCCTGCTATGACTTATCGTGTTTTCGATATAAGCTCCGGTCTTTAAAAAAAACTGCCTCCAAAAGTGGCACTTATTTTCGGGTGATATCTTACCCGCTTACCTCAGGACCACCGCAGCCAGGCTTCCCATGCCCTGACACCTATTGTGCCGCTGCCTGACATCTGTTGGCACTCATGGCAGGAGGCCATGTGATTCTTTGCATCAGGGCTGCCGCTTGCGGCAGGATGTGGCATGTAATGCTGGTGTTGCCGCTTGCATATACCACACAACCTCCTGCCATGAGCAATGGCACGGCATACCATACAGCCTGCTGCAAGCAGCAGCACTGGCACAATGTACCATGCGGCAGCCTGCAGCAAGTGGCGACACCGGTGCCATGCGGCCACCTGCTGGTAGTGGCCACAAGCGGCTGCAGAAGTCAGGTAGCAGTAATACAGATATCAGGGCGTGGGAGCCTGGCTACAGTGGTCCTGAGGTAAGAGGATGCATGGGGCAGTTCCACCCTCACCCTAGCTTGATTTTTACCCATACGCCTCACCCATTTCGTACAACCAACGGGGGGACAGAATGGGCAGGGTCTTAATTAGGGCTTATTTTGGGGATAGAGCTTATATTAGGCACACATGTAAAAATCAAGTTAGGGCTTATTCTCAGGATAGGTCTTATTTTTGGGGAAACACAGTAATAACTGGGTTTCTGGAGATACATGTTATCTTGGACTCTGGATGGTGATTTGCTACTCCACTTGTATGTTGTGTACAATTGGGGGGGGGGCCCTTCTGGACTTATAATTCCTACTTGAAGAGCTAGTGATGCTGTAATCAGGGAGATCTTTATACAGTTGTGCTAACTATATTTTTTTCCTGAATTGGGAGGACCTGCTCATGATCACTCAAATTTTAGTCACTTCTCATTTGGATTATTGCAACATACTCTATATGGGGATGTCATTGAAAACCATACAAGTTTCAATTGTTTCAGAATGCAGTAATAGTTATGGGATTTCATCATTATACATATGTAACACTTCTACTCTGCAAGCTGCACTGCGTCCTTATAGGCTTCCAGATGCAATTCAGGATGCTGATTATCACCTATAAAGTCCTGCATGGCATTGGACTGGTTTATTTGTTAGATTGGCTTTTCAAGCATATCTGCCTATCCCACACACTCCAAGAGAAGAGACTATACCCCCTGTTTCTGAAGCAATGTCACCTGTGAGATACAGGGGGCATTCTTTTTGGTGGTGGCCCTTTTCCTGTGGAACAATCATTTCCAATTCTCCCAATACTACAGTTGATCCCTACCCCATAGCCCTTCAAAGGCAGCCGAGACTTGGATCTTACCCTGTCAAGATGAATAGAATTCCCAATTGAAAAGATATAATCAGTTTAAGTTCTAAAGGTCATTTATTTATTTTATTTATTTATTTATGAGACCTATATACCGCTTTAAGTGCAAGCACTCTCTAAGCGGTGTATACCAGTAAGCAATGTATGTATGTATATGTATATGTATATGTATATGTATATGTGTATATATATATATATATATATATATATATATATATATATATATATGTATGTATGTATGTATGTATGTATGTATGTATGTATATGTATATATGTATATATATGTGTGTGTGTGTGTGTGTGTGTGTGTGTGTGTGTGTGTGTGTGTGTGTGTGTATATATTTATATATATATATTTATATTTACATTGCCCCCAACAATCTGGGTCCTCATTTTACCTACCCCGGAAGGATGGAAGGCTGAGTCAACCTTGAGCCGGTGAGATTTGAACCGCTGACCTGCTGAACACAGTCAGCTAAAGTGGCCTGCAGTACTGCACTCTAACTGCTGCGCCACCTCGGCTCTTTTTAATTGTTTTAGTTTGTTTTTGTGATATACATTTTTGCCTTTATATTGTTATTTAATGCTGTACATTGCCCAGAGTCATGTTTTAAGTTTGAGAGCTATATAAATATTTGAAAACAATAACATTTAAATAGGTGAGGTGGAAAAGAACCTGATGGGGTTGTAAGTGTGATAGTCACAGGTACACAGCCACCCACTAGTAAACGTTAAGGATTCCAGCTGTATGAATTTTGTGTCACAGCAAATGAGGTTTTTGGTTGCTTTTCATATGAATGACCTTTTTTATCATTACAAAGAAAAACATTTGTCTATAATATTAAGGAATAGTATCAACATTTTGTAAATGCACATCAAGTTTGTAATTTGATTTTCAAATTCTCTACTGCAATAATCAACAATAAATTTTCAGCATTAGATGGTCTCTGCCTCATCTGGCCTATCAATTAAGTAATGATGTGAAAATCTTATTTACATACTATGTTTTTTAAAATATATATATAGGTGCGATTATTGATGGTTAGCCGCATGGCAAAACCAGAAGAAGTACTTGTTGTAGAAAATGATCAAGGAGAAGTTGTTCGAGAATTTATGAAAGATACAGACTCTATCAACTTGTATAAGAACATGAGAGAAACACTGGGTAAATTATATTTGCATGATTATTACCTTTCATTCTGCTTTCTTAACAAAAAAATCCCCAAAATAAAATGTGAAAATTTATACTATTACAGTTTATAGAAAGAGATAAATTGTTTTTCAATTGACAGCCACAAGCAAAGCCAGTGCATAGGTTATATTATTTTAATAAACAAATTTATTTTAACCTTGATTCTGTAGATTGAAATTTTTGTTACAGGTGTTTATGAGTTTTATTATGATTGTTTATAGTTTGTATTGGTCTCCCTCAACTCTGAAAAAAATTAGCAAATTTTACAATTTGCTTTAGATACTTCATTAAATCTTAGTGGAGAATGATATTCTGCATTATTCTGTACTATCAACTTACTTACATTATTTCTTCCAGTTTATCTTACCCATCTGGATTATGCAGATACTGAACGAATAATGACAGAGAAGCTTCACAATCAAGTAAATGGTACTGAATGGTCATGGAAAAATCTCAACACCCTGTGTTGGGCTATAGGTTCAATAAGTGGAGCAATGCATGAAGAAGATGAGAAGAGGTTTCTTGTAACAGTAATAAAGGTAATACTAATGACTGCAATACATATAGTCATTAATAGCTTCTCATGGAACTTTATCTTTTGTAAAAAGAAAATTAACGTAAGACAATTTTGCAAATACTCAGCTGTATCAGGAAACTCTGAACTTCTAATGAGGTTTAAATCCTGAAAAGGTTGGTGTTCTTTTCATGAAAGTCAAACACCAGTATTACAACCTCACTGGTAAACAGCACTTTGAATGCCTTAAAGTCCAAATACACCATCTCATTTAGTTCCCTAAATTGGAAGTGAAATAGTGGCTAAGCAATGACTGACAGAGATGTTGCAAAGTTCACTGTTGTAGCCATCTCATTGAGATGAAGTTGTCCCATGCAACAGTGGCAGTGATATTGTTCTCAGGCACAAATTTGGCTGTAAGTGCACATTATTTGGATTTAAAAAAAAAAAAACCTTACCATCCTATTTATGAACAGCCACTAAACAACATAACAACTAAGCAAGGGGTAGCTACATAGGATAGAGTGTCTTCTAAAAATTTCCTTTACTCGATATTCATTATTCAAACACAAGCTGCTGGAAAGAGTATATTCTCTATTAAACTTTTCAAGCAGGGCTGGTCCACTTGTTGGGAACAAAACTGGGAGAGTCATCTTGATGACTGCTCTTTGTCTTTGGAATTTGTTGTTATTCTAGGAAGCAAGAACGATTTTATTCAAGCATCTCTTTGTGCTAAAACTGATATATTAGTTTTAGTTGAATTTGTTTGCTGTGGTGTTTTATTGGTGTGATTTCACTGGTGTACTTTTTATTACATTTGAAATCTTCAGTTAATTGGTATATTAATGAAACTTAGAACATTTTTATTCAAGCATCTATGCTAAAACTGATATATTAGGTTCAGTGTCTGAAATCTTCAGTTGGTTAATTGGTATCTTACTGAAATTATCATTATAATGGACTTCTGTTACTAGTTACTCAGGAGAGGATTTGTCTTACTATATATTCTTTGTTGGTGCTACATTAATTAGGTCAGAGTATCAAGAAAAATGTCTTCATGTTTTGTATAATTACAGCATTTATTACAAGATGAGGTCTCAGCTATTCATTTACAAGCATTTAATTTCACTTATTTTACCTTATTTTTTAATTTTTTCTGCAATGCTGCTCTAACATAATTTTTATCATAAATAAAAATGGAACTTCTTATGAATCTTGTGTTTCTGTAGGATCTTCTTGGACTCTGTGAACAAAAAAGAGGAAAAGATAATAAAGCTATTATTGCATCAAATATAATGTACATAGTAGGACAATATCCAAGATTTTTGAGAGCCCACTGGAAATTTCTGAAGACTGTCGTCAACAAGCTATTTGAATTTATGCATGGTAATATATCTAGAATTCAATTTGGATTGTATAATAATAAATGATGTTAAAATCAGTAACAGTTACTGCTGTACTATTAAATATCATAATAGATGGGTTTTTAGAACTATTTCTATTTAAAATACTACTTACATTTATAGAAAAGAAATAAACTTATTACTGTGTGCTTTTCATTTATCAATCTGAAGAAATTCAGTATATGAACAACTGGGAAATACCTTCACAAAGCATTCTTATAACAGCAACTATTTCTAATTTTTTCCTTTAGAAACTCATGATGGAGTCCAGGACATGGCTTGTGATACTTTTATAAAAATAGCGCAAAAATGTCGAAGGCACTTTGTTCAAGTTCAAGTTGGAGAAGTAATGCCATTCATTGATGAGATCCTGAACAATATTAACACAATTATTTGTGATCTTCAGCCGCAACAGGTAATATCAAGTTATGATATTGCAAAAATACCTAAAATAAGTGAATGTGCAAAAACACGGGCATCAATAAGGCTGTTTTTTAAATCTTGGAAAATATTCTTTTGCCACTAGAATATACTTTTTTGATCCATTCTTTATTGAATAGTAAATTGCATTAATAGAAATCTAAAGATTTTAAAACAGAAAAGAAGCATAAAATTTGAAACTTATAGGTTAACAGTTTTATTGAAATTGTTATTCAGTTTCAAGCATTCAATTACATATTTTAGTATGCTTTTTCTTTGTTTAGGTACATACTTTTTATGAAGCAGTTGGATACATGATTGGTGCTCAGACTGACCAGACAGTACAAGAGCATTTAATAGAGAAATATATGTTACTCCCTAATCAAGTATGGGACAGCATAATTCAACAAGCTACAAAAGTAAGAGTTCATAATATGTATACTCCTTGCAGGCATGATTATAGTTTCAGAAAATATTGATTTCTTGTGAAGATTAAGTTGGGTGTGATTTGTTTTGCTTTCAAGAAAAAATTGGTGAATAGCAAATATTTTTATGGGAATTGTTTTATTATTAAAACATTAAATAATTAATTTTGTGTGGTTCATCTCTGTACTAAAATATATATGTAACCAATATTTTTGTCTGTATATAAAATGAAATGGGACTGTTGCATTACAGGTTATTTATTTACCTATTTGTCATATTTAAACAGCCAACCATCTCACGAACGGGTTACTCTGGATGGTGTGCATCAAAGCTAAAAACCATATATGCAACAAGTATTAATATTATTACTAAAATTTTAAAATTATAAAAAGCACAAAAATAAAAAAATAGGTGAAAAGCAATATTAAAAATATTGCACCAGTCCCCTGGGGCCCCTAAGCCAGATGACACAACCAGGTCTTGGCATGTCTGGAAATTTAAGAAGGATAAAGCTGGCCTCATTCTGGGGAAAATAATGTTCCAAAATGCAGGGCCCACAGCAGAAAAGGCTTGCTGCCTAGGATTTGCCAAGTAAAGCTTCCTAGGCAATGGGACCTTCAACATGCTCCCTCTGGTGGGACAGGCAAATGTAATTGGGATAATTTGGTCCCATGCTACATAGGGCTTTGAAGGTCAAAACCTTCATCTTGAATTGTTAACTAGTAACATACTAGTAATTGATCTGTACTGAACTACAACATTAACTTTTATACACTACTAGATGAAGAGTTGCTTTGCTTGCTAAATGCACAAATTTCTGTTTAACAGAATGTTGATATTCTTAAAGACTCTGAAACAGTTAAGCAGTTGGGAAGTATCCTAAAAACTAATGTGAGAGCATGTAAAGCGGTTGGACATCCATTTGTGATTCAGCTTGGAAGAATCTACTTAGATATGCTGAATGTGTATAAGTGCCTAAGTGAAAACATTTCTGCAGCTATTCAAGCAAATGGTAAGAATGACTACTTTAATTACAATAATATTTTGGATCTTTTTACTTGGTTATTTATCATGTGAATAAAATGAACTAGACTTTATAACGTAAAAGAGAAACAAAACAAATCTTAGGATAGTTGGGTAAAAGTATATAGAGCAAATTTTAAAAATGGGTTGTATTTGTAATGGATGAATAAACTTTATTCATGAATATGATCCTACCCAATGATGAATTGTTGTTGCAGAACCTAAATAGCTTCACACAAGGGACCATTGTAATACAAAGATAAGTGTTAAATATAAAATCATATTTTGGTAACTTAAGACACAGCAGCATAATTTCTTTGTTGAAAATAGTACTTTAGACTCACAATAAAACTGGCTTAAGTTTGAAGCACCCAAGCTCATTTGAGCATAAAAAAGGGGAAACAAGCTTCCAATAAGCTTGGACCTTATTTCAAAAAAAGTTTGAGTGGACCCAAAATAAAATTAAATTGAACTTAAATTTAAGATTATTTAAATAATCTTCCCCTTCCATCCTGTGACAGTAAAAATTTGTAGTTTTCCAAGAACCCAATGTGAACTGTCTGGTTGGCGTTTCCAGAAAAAGAAACTCCTGGAACATAATTTTACCAAGAGTATAATACTTTACTGAAAATCTACATTGGCACAAAAGAAGTGAAACCAGCTCTGATTTCCCACCCAAACACAGGCATAGTTATTTCCCCATTTTCCTCTGAGCCACCCAGAGCCCAATGCATTCACCAATCACTTTTGTTCATTTTGTTATGAGAAAACAGTTAGCCAAACTTGATAACAATAAAGTTGGATGTTGTCAGAATCCAATTATATTTCATCTTTAGTTATCAAATATAGAAAACCCCAATTCTGCCTTCTCTGGATTCTGCCATAAGAGGGAGAGAAGGGGGAGAACAAAGGGGCTTTATGGCCCTCACTTCCTTCAGTATACTCCTAAGGAACTGAATGTGTTTATTGCAACCTCAAAGAGTTTGAATGTGGTTAGTACCAAAAGACCTTATCGTAACAAAGGAGGCTATTTACCTTTCATGTAGTTTATCTGAAGTCTCCATCCAGACGGAAGAAAGGAAAAAAAGGGGTGGGATTGTGATGCCTGAAACTATCACTGGAAGGGGGGGGTGATTGGGTGGGACTACTGGGGAACCCCTTAAAACCTCGAATGGGAGAGCTTAAACCCCAAGTCCTGTCTAGCACACCTGCAACCACTTTTTCTTAATAAAGGATTCCTGTTGGAAGAATTATTCCAAGAGTTCTGTCTTCTTAAGATGCAAAGTGGGGTGGGTCCTTACATTAGACAGGACTTGCAAAATTAATCCACCTGGAAGGGAGACCCTTGCCGGGGGATTTTGCAAAAATTTACTATGTCAGACAATGGAGCAAGAGAGGGGGAAAACTCCCTGGAAAGAGAGCCGCTGACCCAGTTGGAACCTTGCCAGATGTTGGGATCCGAGAGGTCAGATTCCTCAGGAGAAGAAGTGGTGGAGACACAGGACCACAAGCCTCGCTGGTCAATGGGCGTTGGAAAGAAAAGTGAGTGGAGAAAGGAATCAAGAAAGGTGACCCTGAGACGGGGGACCAAGCAACCAGAATGGAAGCAGGAGATGGAGAAATCCCTGCATGCAAGTGAAGAGGGAGAAAGCTGGGCACCGTACTCAGACTGGATCCTAGAGAAAGCTATTGACCTGATGAAGAGAACTCTCAGCTCCCTAGGAGAGGAGAATCCTGAGCCCTACGGCCGCCTCAGCTCCTGGAGCCGCAAAGGGAGAGACACCAAGGGGAAGTGGAACCTGCAACCCCGGGGACATCTGCTGATCCAGTAGTCCCACCCCCTACCAAACCACAGATGGCGATCTGGACGGAAGACACTACCACCAACAACGGAGGCACCGATCCATTCCAAGACGTCCGCCTTTGGAGGTGAAATTCAAAGGGGAGCCAACACGCTTGGGGTTTTTCCTAATCCAAGTCCTCAGCTACATGGAGGAATACGGGCAGGACATCCCCAGCGACAAAGCCCGCATCCGAATCGTGCAATCTGCCCTGGATGGACCGGCTGCAGATTGGGTGGTGAACTTGCATGACTCCAATGCCCCAGAACTCAGTAACTTCAACCGTTTCATGTCTTCTCTGAGAAGACGATTTGAAGACCCCCTGGCTGATCACAAAGCCCGTGAAAGCCCCCCCAATGAAGCAAGGCAAACGCCCGGTGGCTGAATATAAACAAGAATTCCGGGCCATTGCCAGCAAACTGAATTGGCCAAAAGACATCCTCCTTAGCCATTTCAAAGACGGATTAAATTATGATCTATATGACGCTTGCCTGCCCCGAGGGGACCCACACCAAATTGAGGAATGGTACATCTTGGCAGAGGAAGCAGAGATCGACATATTGAAGAGACACCGCCGAGGAAAACAATGGAGCTGCCCCCCGCCTGAGCTGACACACGAACCGGTGAAATCATCGGCTACAGCCAAGAAGCAAATGGGGTGTTTCAAGTGCGGAAGAGAAGGGCATCGAGCTGTAGAATGCCGCTCCAAAGCCCCCCAGCACAACCCAGACAGATCCCCAACCAACAAATCCGGAAAGTCTTCAGCTAAGCCAAAAGAAACTGCCATGAGAATGATGGAAATTGCAGAACCCCCCACTTCTACTCACCAAGGGGAAAAAACTCCAGCCTACATCACAGGGCCGATGGATGCCTCAGATGACATCTCGGAGGGTGAACCCCTGGTAAGTGGACGCATCACACCCATCCTCAAGACAGTGACTATATTAATCCCCCCCAAGCCCGAAGCTGTGAAGGTGAAAGCCTTAATAGACTCTGGCTGCACCCGCTGCCTCATTAGCCCAACACTAGTGGGTAATCTGGGCATCCCATCGAGGAGACTGGAACAACCAATCTCATTTGGCCAGTTAGATGGATCCATAGCAGGGGGGGTGCCAGCTACCCTAGCCACTCTACCAATACACCTCTCCCTGGGCAAACATGAAGAGGACATAACGCCCAATGATTCTAGGGATGGAATGGTTGAAAAAATGGAACCCCTGGGTAAATTGGAGGATGACAGAAATCAAATTCCCAAAGGGGGACCCTATGGACTTAAAACCCAAGGGAGGCCACCAGAATCAAGAATAGAAAAAGCATCCATAGGAGAGGAAAAAAGATTAACAGAAATACCAGAGGAATATAGAGACCTTGCTGAAGTTTTCAGTGAGGAGAGGGCAAATGAGCTCCCCCCCACCGACCCACAGACTGTACCATTGAATTCAAGCCTGGGGCAAAACTCCCGAAGCCCAGATTATACTCCATGAGCCCAAAGGAGAAGGAGGAAATGGAAAGATTTATTTAAAAAAACCTAGAGAGAGGTTTCATTGAGCTAGCCAAGCCTAAAGTGGCTGCCCCGGTCCTCTTTAGAGAGAAGAAGGACGGCTCTTTACGCTTATGCGTGGATTATAGGGCCCTGAATACAATCAGTGAAAGCAACCTATACCCTCTACCCCTCATGAAAGACATGCTGTCACACCTATCGAAAGGGAAATTTTTTTCTAAACTAGACCTAAGGGAAGCTTACTATTGTGTGAGAATTAAGGAAGGGGACGAATGGAAGACTGCATTTAACTGCCCCATGGGGTGCTATCAATTCAACTACAAAGTTTCCTGGGCTTTGCAAACTTTTACCGCCAATTCATCCCCTCATTTGCCCAGATAGCCTTGCCCCTCACTAACTTACTAAAAACGAAGGGAGCATCCTCAGTAAAAGCTAGCCAGCCACTAACATGGACAATGGAGTGCCAAGCAGCCTTTGAGAGACTAAAGAGACTTTTTTCTGCCGAACCAGTACTAAGGCACCCAGACATGGACAAGCCCTTCGTAATACAGGCAGATGCAAGTGATGTGGCAGTGGGGGCTGTTCTGTTACAAGAAAACAATGAAGGGGTATTGCAACCCTGTGCATATACATCCAAGAAACTCACAGAAACAGAACAGCGCTGGCCCGTATGGGAGAAGGAGGCTTATGGGATACGTTGGGCATTACTCACGTGGCGACAGTTCCTGGAAGGCAACAAAATCCCCTTCCAGGTGTGGACTGATCACAAAAATTTGGAAGCCTTGAAAACGTCCAGGAAACTCAATCCCAAACAAGCCCGCTGGTCCCAGCATTTTCACCAGTTCCAATTTAAGCTCAAACATTTACCAGGAAGAAAGAACTTCCTGGCAGATGCACTATCTCGCATGCCTCAATATAACAGCGCACGAACCACAGACTCTAGACCAATAATGGCAGAGTCACAACTGGCAGCACCAGTAACCACAAGAACCCAAGCCAAATTAAAACCACAACTGGACAGCCAAACTGGAATTGAATTCAGAAAAAGTTTGGAAACAGATGAATGGTTCCAGAAAAACAAAAATGTGTGCACAATGAGAGACGGGTTGCCTTGGGTAGGGGAAAAGTTATATATACCAACAACTCAAAGAGTCACTTTCATGCACCTTTGCCATGACACAAAATCAGCAGGGCATTTTGGATTTGTAAAAACTTTACATTTAATTAAACGGCAATTTTGGTGGCCATCCATGAAAAAGGACATAGAAAGTTATGTTGCCAGCTGCCCAACATGTGCATCTGCAAAGAGGTTGCAAGGGAAATCGCCAGGGCTATTACAACCAGTGGCAAATCCCTCAGCCCCCTGGAGGGAAATAGCCATGGATTTTATAGTGGAATTGCCAGAAAGCAATGGGAATACTGTTATCTGGACAGTCACGGACCTATTTTCCAAACAGGTGCACTTTATCCCTTGCCAAAAAATTCCCACTGCAAAGGCCTTAGCAAAACTTTTCATCCAGCACATTTACAGATTGCACGGGGCACCCCAACGCATCATCTCTGATAGGGGAGTGCAATTTACGTCTGCATTTTGGAAGGAATTTTTATCCCTCTTAGGGACCACTCAGGGATTGACATCTAGCCACCACCCTCAAGGAGATGGACAAGCGGAACGCTGCCAGTCGGTACTTGAGCAATATTTGAGATGTTTTTTAAATTTCCAACAGAGTGATTGGACGGACTTACTTCCGTTTGCAGAAGTTGCCTACAATAATGCAGTCCACTCCAGCACAGGCTACACTCCTTTTCAAGTAGCCAACGGTCAAAGTTTCAGCCTCATGCCAGAATTAACCCCAAACGAACCAACGATCCCTTCACTGAAAGAATGGATGGAAAAACTACAAAACACCTGGCCAATAGTTAGAAAAGCACTAGATGAAGCTAGGCAGGCATACAAAGCACAAGCCGATAAAAAAAAGGGTTGAGCCTACACCATTCATTATAGGAGAAATGGTGTACTTATCTACAAAATACCTAAAGTCCCTACAGCCCTGTAAAAAACTTGGACCAAAATATATAGGACCTTTTCCAATTAAAAGAATCATAAATCCAGTAACAGTAGAATTAGAATTACCCAAAAATCTCAGGCAAATACACCCAATTTTTCATTGCAGCTTGCTGAAAAGAGAGCATCAGTCACCTCTACGGCCAAAAATCCCCCCCCCACCACCTCCAATCATGGTGGAGGGTGAACAACACTTCGAAATAAAGGAAGTCCTTGACTCTAGGAGATATCATGGAGCAACTCAGTACCTAGTTGCCTGGAAACACCTCCCTCCCTCACAAAACGAGTGGGCCCATAAACGTCATGTCAGAGCTCCGAAGCTATTGAAGAAGTTTCACACAGAGTATCCTAACAGGCCTGACTAACTTTTATACCTGTTTTGTTTCTTCCAGGTGGATCTCTCTTATTTTGAGGGGGCCGGATGTCAGAATCCAATTATATTTCATCTTTAGTTATCAAATATAGAAAACCCCAATTCTGCCTTCTCTGGATTCTGCCATAAGAGGGAGAGAAGGGGGAGAACAAAGAGGCTTTATGGCCCTCACTTCCTTCAGTATACTCCTAAGGAACTGAATGTGTTTATTGCAACCTCAAAGAGTTTGAATGTGGTTAGCACCAAAAGACCTTATCATAACAAAGGAGGCTATTTACCTTTCATGTAGTTTATCTGAAGTCTCCATCCAGACGGAAGAAAAGAAAAAAGGGGTGGGATTGTGATGCCTGAAACTATCACTGGAAGGGGGGGGTGATTGGGTGGAACTACTGGGGAACCCCTTAAAACCTTGAATGGGAGAGCTTAAACCCCAAGTCCTGTCTAGCACACCTGCAACCACTTTTTCTTAATAAAGGATTCCTGTTGGAAGAATTATTCCAAGAGTTCTGTCTTCTTAAGATGCAAAGTGGGGTGGGTCCTCTGCAAACTTCCAGAGATTGCCTAGATACCATCCCCCCATCTTTGCATTACATTCCACAACCACTTCCCTTTTTGGGCAAGCTGTGAGGGAGGGAGAAAATGTAGGTGAAAGGGCGAATCAATTTTCACATACTGACCCCTTGAAGAAGGGTAGACCTGGAACAACAATAAACATACAACCCAATTACTGCTACATTCCTTAATGAGGCCATTGAAAGGGCGAATCAGTCTTGACACCCAACACAAAGCTTTTCAGTTCATATACTTAACCATAGCTAGGGGGTCAATGCATACAAATACTTCAAGTGCTAGAGATGGAATAGAGTTACATGGCACATGAGAGAAGGGATGTAAGTAATCCTGTAACTAGGTTTTTCAGTGATAAAGGATCAGAAGCATTTCCATAATCAATTAAAGCTTAGAATATTTTTACACTCAATCAGAATGTATATATTGTAATAATCTGCTATAGACTTTCTGTAATTATAAAAACATGAGTTTGCTTGTTCAGTAATCATGCCTTAGAGATCAAGGGCTGAGTCACCTATGTTCTGCTAACAATGTAGTACACTTGGCAGATACCAAGACACCATGTAGGTTTTGGGCATCTTCTGTCTTTATAGAAAGGTTACTAACTATAGAAAGATTTTGTAAGCCTTCTGGTACAGCATCTTGAATTTTAATATTATTTAATGGTTATTATTTGGTTCTGGATTTTTTTTTTCATATTCCTTAATTTGTTGATTTTTTGAAAAGCTGGGGTAAAACTTTCCAAATCAATTTGCTTTTCCAAGGCTATTCTTGATTTGTAATTGACTTTAAAACTCTTCCAGGTGAAATGGTAACAAAGCAACCTCTGATTAGAAGTATGAGAACAGTAAAAAGGGAAACTTTAAAACTCATTTCTGGTTGGGTGAGCAGATCTAATGATCCTCAGATGGTAAGTGCAATGACCTTAATAGACTATGAAAATGGGGGATACATTTGCATGACACACAATCTTGACTTAACATTAACCCTAGTAGGAGATTTACCTTGATCTTGGAAACACCCTTCAAGTGTTAGATGCTGTGGTTGCAATAGTAGCAGCAGTTTGACTGCCCTAGGGTTCTACAGAACAGCTCATATTCTTAGTTCAGAACAAGTCTAGGTTCTGGAGTTCTGTCTCAAGTTGAGGACAGATGGGATTTCATTACACATTGCCTTCAAAGTTCCCTCAGAGAAAACAATGGGAACGTTAATCAAAATCTAGCTTTCTCAGTTTTAATAGTAGTCTAAACTTTAAAAAAAAAATACCAAGGGGATTATTTTTGAAGAAATGTTCAAATCCAAACAAATAGTTGAGATATGGTAGTATTCAGCCCTTCACCAATGGCTTTGGTCCTGGTTTGGAAAACAAAAACCTAGTCTCATCTGCATATCAACAATTAAAATATTTTCATGTTTATACTGTTGGGACACATAACTCACTCAAAACATTCCAAGAGAATGCTCCCAGTTGTGATGCTTTGTTTGGATCTTAGAACACCTTTTTTCCTTTATTATCTCACCACCTTTCCCTGCTGAGAGCAAATATTACAACTGCCTTTATGATGTTTTACTGATAGGGGAGGGAGTATCTTGATTTTAAACCATTGGCATGGGGAAAGGGAAGTTTATTTCCTTTTCTCAATTCTTTTGTTTAAAAATAAGACCCTCAGAAATAAAGGAAGGTGAGAAATAGAAATTCATCTGAAATGGTTTATTACTTAAATCATTCCGGCATATTTTTTCTCAATATTTTTTGTATGCTCAAGAATTTATCACAACTTTAGGATTGCACACAAGTCTTACTCATTCTTTAAATCGACTACAAACTATAGTTTATTTTTGTGCTTTATTTACATATTACTTTTGACTATTCTTTGAACATAGTATGATTTAACACATTATGCAAGCAGATCAACATTGAAGAAATGTTGGATTAACCCTCTTCGTTGGTGTTTTTTTTCTTTTTCTAGGTAGCTGAAAACTTTGTTCCACCTTTGCTGGATGCCGTTCTTATTGATTATCAGAGGACTGTTCCAGCTGCCAGAGAGCCAGAAGTGCTTAGTACAATGGCTATCATAGTAAACAAATTGGGGGGGCACATTACTGCTGAAATACCTCAGATATTTGATGCTGTCTTTGAATGCACATTGAATATGATTAATAAGGTAATTCAGTGACTTTTAAACATTAAAAATAGCTATAGAGAGAGAGCTTATACCAGGCATATCAAACTCGCGATGTCATGTGACGTCGCGCAATGTATCGGGCCGGTTTTGCCATTGCTGGCAATGGGGTGGGCTCAGCTTCCATGTGATGCGTCCGGCCCATGGGCCGGCAGTTTGACACCCCTGGCTTATACAAACTAGTTTGACTGATTTTCAGTGAAGGGGCTTTTTTTCCTTTGGAGGCAGAGCTGGAATTCTGTATTAGTTTTATTGTTTTCCTAATTTATTCTTAGATAGGCTCATTTCCCGTAGCTTTTAGTAATGTGTTGATGCAACCAACTATAATAGTAATCACTTTTCTTTATCTAGTGCCCCTTCATCCTATCGATTTCATGTGTAACTTTATTTTCTATGTCCTTTGCATCCTGATTTCATGTGTTTTTTCCACATTAACAATATGATACTGCATATTTTATATTATGACTACTCTCCTTAAAGTATTTTTCTGGCTTCCTCTGCTCATGGATTGGGCACACACAGAGACTTTTTTGAACCCTACTTTGCAAGTGCAGAAGACTTCTTCATATCTTACTGCACTTATATTTTAATACCAGCTAGAATTTCTAAACGTAATGATTCAATTAATGTGTTCTCAATCATTCAAAGATCTCACAATTTCTGAAACCACTTACAGTCACTTTCTGTTCTTTGCGCTAAGAACTGCTTCTCAGAACCTTTGCTTCTTCTAAGTTCCTTCTTAAAATTCTAGGTGACATTTGGATCATCTCCTTTAACTAGAGGTGTATACTTTGATGCCTCAAGATGACCTGATTAACCCAAACAGCTTTGGTTGTGGCTCCCAACAACTCCAAAATCTCTTACCAAATTATAAAATTACACATCACTAAAGAGGAAAATGAACAAATACATAGTTGGAGAGTAGTGTTAATTATTGAAAAATGAAATGAAATGTATAGTTTTTCAGTTTACAATTCTAAATTTGCCATCAGCCATGAATCTGCCTCTGTGTCTTGTTGTAATTAAGTCAAAATAAAAACATAAAAACACTCTCTGAATGAGTTTTTTGTCATAGATAAATCCATGTAATTCTCTTTGGCAATAGTACAGGTAGTCCTTGACTTAGGACTGGTTGCTTAACCATTTGAAGTTAATACGAACTTGATTTGCACTTCTGGACCACATGGTTCATTTAATGACAACTGGTTCAAGAGTTGTCATAAAAACAGACATATAGTTGAGTTCAATTGGGGGGTGCCCCGAATTATGACTTTTCAGTGTAGTCTATAGATAAGAGCACTTTATTGGTCTTCAAGTACAAACCAGACCTAACTTGATTTAGATTTAGATCTAGGGTCAGTACTTTTATTTACTGCAAGTACATTTTTCTCTTTTTCCTGACCAAACTTTCCATGCTTGGCTGCTTCTTTGCCCTCTGGAATGCAGCCGCTGCCTCCTCGGAATCCAGACTACCTTCTACCATAGGTACAAAGGGAAAGGTGCATTTTCTCCTCAGATTACAATAGAATTTATTACAGGTAGTCAACTTAATAACCATAGTTGGAACCAGAACATCTGTTGATAAGTGATGTGGTTGTTAAGTGAATTGTGCCCAACTTTATTATCTTTTTGCTGCAATTGTTAAACAGATCTCTGTGGTTGTAAAATGACTTGACCTATTTACTTTGCTTCTCAGAAGTCCTCTGGGAAAGGTAGCGGATAGCAATTATATGACCCCAAAATGCTGAAATCCTCATAAGTACAACTGGTAGGACTCACGGCTTTGCTATTTGAACCAGTAATTAGCTTATCCTTGAATTGTCTAATATTTTTAATGGTGACTGTCTTGATCAGGTGGATTTTGTAGCTAAGACTTCTTTCCTTATATCTTAAACATTTTTCAAATAAATCATGACCATAGGCCTCAACTGTCTTACGTTTAGGTTAAAGAGAAAATATAAACATTGCTATTATTTCTTGCCCTAATTTCTGCTATAAGAAAAGATCTAACGTGATTGGAATGCAGATGGGCATTGAATTTTACTCTGTACAGGAGTTTAGAAACTGCAAAGAACTTTTAGGACTTTGTAAAACTGTAAAGGACTTTTAGGACTTTGTAAAGCTATTCTTTTTGAGAATAGCTACTTCAGCAGCTTTCCAATTCACTTAACAAAAGCAATCTGAAGCACAGCCAATAGATACTTCAAGAACATTACTATTTATTAAAGGTTGTGTGCTTCAGGAAGTCAATGTGGCATGAAACTTTTTGAATTCTACAAAAGTACATTGATTTTAATATTCCATGATTTCTGAAGCGATCTTCATACATTTCTAGAGAAAACAAACTATTGGTAATACTCAATTTACAAACATTCGTTTAGTGATGGTCAAAGTTACAATGGCACTAAAAAGGAGACTTTTGACTGTTTTTCACACTACCATTACAGCATCCCCATGGTCATGTGATCAAAATTCAGCTGCTTGGCAACTGGCTCAAATTTATGACAGTTGCTATGTCCCAGGTCAAGTGGTTACCTTTTGTGACCTTTTGACAAGCAAAGTCAATGGGGAAGCCAGATTCATTTAATAGCAGTGTTATTAACTTATCAACTGCAGTGATTCACTTAATTATGGTAAGCAAGGTTGTAAAAGGCAAAATTCATATAACAACTGTCTCACTTAGCAACAGAAATTTGGGGCTCAATTTTGTTTATACATTGAGGACTACCTGTACCAGTTTCTTTACAGGAAAGGCATTTGACTCCACTTTGAAAACTGACACTTTATTTAAGAAGGTTTTGGAGATTGAGATGTTTTTCTACCCTGGTCTGGGGACAAGTGTGGGATATTTCTCTGGAGAGGCACTTGAAAATTTGACTTGTGTATTTCAATAGTGTTATAAGATGAAGAAGTTATTTGTTTGACTCAATAAAAATTTACAAGTAAGGAAGTTTCTGGAATTGCATGTAAAAGGATCTCTTTTTTTCCCTTAGGACTTTGAAGAGTATCCTGAACACAGAACAAACTTTTTTTTATTACTACAAGCAGTAAACTCCCATTGCTTTCCAGCGTTCCTGGCCATTCCACCTGCACAGTTCAAGCTAGTATTGGATTCTATCATTTGGGCTTTCAAGCATACAATGAGAAATGTTGCAGATACAGGTGAATTTGCTTTATCATAATCTAAATTATAACAGTTTAGAAGCATGTAGATATGGAACTTTTTTACAGTCAAGTCTTGTCAAATTGTAATTATCTGCAAACATTAACATTTTAGAATGACTTTGCTTTGTGTTTTTTTTCCAGGCCTTCAGATCCTTTATACACTTTTACAAAATGTTGCACAAGAAGAAGCTGCTGCTCAGAGCTTTTATCAAACTTATTTCTGTGACATTCTTCAACACATTTTTTCTGTTGTAACAGACACATCTCATACTGCTGGTAGGAATTGAACCCTGAGGTGGGAAATGAGAAAAAATTTGCTACAAGTAGAACCCATATCAGTTACAAATATTAACTCTAATTTGTATATTCTAATCAGGTTTGACGATGCATGCATCAATTCTTGCATACATGTTCAACTTAGTAGAAGAAGGAAAAATAAATACTCCCCTAAACCCTGGAAATCCAGTAAACAACCAAATGTTTATTCAGGAGTATGTTGCTAATCTTCTTAAATCTGCATTTCCTCATCTACAAGAGTAAGTGCTTGATTTCTGAACACAGGTTAAAATTTATATGCACACAACCGTCATATAAATTAAATCCTCTTTTTTTTATGTTAGTGCACAGGTTAAACTGTTTGTAACAGGACTCTTCAGTTTAAATCAGGATATTCCTGCTTTCAAGGAACATCTTAGGGACTTCCTAGTACAAATAAAGGTATGTTTGATTTTATGAACATGTATTGAATTGCATTTGTAGAGGAAGAGGGGAAATTATTCATGCCCAGTTAGCATAATTGCCTATGCAGATGGTAGATATACATTATTTTAAACACTGAACTTTATAAATTCTGTGAATATTGTATTAGTAAATATAGCCATGTTCTATATTCCCGAGTTAGCTTGAGTTCTCAGATGGATCTTGTATCCATCATCTGACTATATATTATTTGGATCAGGCAATAATATTTCCACATACATCATATAAATGAAGTAGCTGAATACATTTAGTTCTCATTAACATTTAGGTAAAGTTGGAGTTTCCTAATGGTTAAGTAGCAGCTCAAGAATTGGTAAACTGTTCTTTGCTAGAAGTATGACTGAGTGGCTAGAAGTCTTTGAATGTAATTTAATATAGTTAAGGTATTCCAATTATTGAGAATATATGTAGCGTATGTTAGGTTGTTAGTATTCTTGAGTTGGCTGTTTTAATTTCCAGGTTTGGTAACCTCAATACTTCATGGAAGTGTAGAATTTGCTGTTTTATATATAATAGCATGTTCTGCTAGTTTTTGTTGGGGTTGGGTGTCTTCCTTGATGGTACCTTTATAAGGACATTGTTTCTTCCTTGTCTGAATCTGGCACTGTTTATTGCTTATCTGCAATGGTTGCGGCTGGACTGTTTATTTCTTTGCTTGACTTTTTGGTTTTATATCCAGTAATTAAAATAAGAGTTTTTAAAGTCAAATCTATACCTAATCCAGTCAAGGGGCAGTTGTTCTGTTATTTTGTTTTTACATTTTCTGGACTTATGCACCTCTTTTGTAATATTCTACCATTCTGTCAGAAGATTTCCCTGTTTCTAGCTGAGTGATTTAATAACAAGTTGGATTGTTAAAATAATACGTGTATTTAGTAACTGTCCAAATAGAAGAGCTGGATTTTACCCAATTAAAAAAAGCAAATGAAATTCCCTTTTCTCATATCTTGCAAAAAATTAATTTGCAGCATCAAAAGCTTCTGCATCTTACAAAAAAAAATTTGTGTTATGAAAATAAGTTACAGTATAAATGTTACCAGAGAACTGTCATCCTTTCACAAAAATAACATACAGGATGAATTATTAATGATAATATATAATTGTGTTAGTATAGCAGGCAAAGGCTTAGTGCAGAATTCCCCAACCTTTTCGGCTTTGTGGACCGGGTTGGGGGAGGGATGGTTCTGTGTGCGTGGAGGGCAAATGTGTAACTCCATTTGTGTAATGGAGCACGGCCCCAGCCAACCATTGCTCGCGCAAGTGGGGATGTGCACACTTACCCTCCACTTCCGTGGCCCTGTTCCGAAAGGCTCAAGACCCAGTAGTTCCGAAACGCTCAAGACCCAGTAGGATATTGGATAATTAATATAACTTATAGACTCCTGTACTGTTTTCATAATAAGCCCCACAATATTATGAGGAAAAGTCTCTTTTGAAAGATTATTATGTATATCTAATGATATGGAGATAGGTTTTTTTCCTGTAGTTACAATGGCACTGAAAAAGTGGCCTATGACTGTTTTTCACATGACCACATGAAAGCATCTCCATGGTCACATGATCAAAATTCATGGCACACTTGGCAACTGGCATATATTTATGACAATTGTAGTGTTCCAGAGTCATGTGATCACCCTTTGCGACCTTCTGATAAGCAAAGTCAATGGGCAAGCCAGATTCACTTAACAATCGTGCTACTAACTTTTAACAACTGCAATGATTCACTTAACAACTGTGGTAGGAAAGGTCATAAAATGGGACAAAACTAACTTAAAACCATCTTGCTTAGCAACAGATATTTTGGGCTCAGTTGTGATCATAAGTCAAAGACTACTGGATATACAAATAAACAAGTCTCTTGAGTGAACATCAAAAATCTTTGGAATATTCAGTTTAAAAAGTTTTCTACCTGTCCAATAGGCATTACTGCATTCATAAAATATAAATGTCAATAGAATTCTATAAATTGAGGACTAATTGTTTTTGCCTGATTTCTAGATTTTTTCCTCTATTCTCAGTTGCAAAATTATTGCAAAAACCATTCATTCAAAAAGGCAGGCTGCAAATATACAGAAGGAGAGAAAACAAAAAAAGGAACATGAGATGAAAAAATGATAAAGAAAACTATTTTTGCATGGTTACACTATAGCCAGACTTATCTTTTTGTCTTAATGAGCTGTGAATCTGAGCTAGAGTTAATAAGGTTTCTAATCAAAAGTTATAAGAATGGGAGAAAGGGAAAGAAATGTGAGAAAAAGAATAAAACAGCTTTTGACATCATGACTTATCTTGGATTCTAAAGCAGTGTCCCAAAAAATGTCCATGTTTCATTTGAAACAAGTTTTTATAGAATTTTCTATGGCAACCGGAAAATATTATCTCATTTGTCTTATACATATAGGAACTTCAGCATGCCCAAGCACTTGCAATTTATTTGATTTTCAGTCTGATCTCATTCCTCTTGGCAGGTTATCTGCTTGTGTGTTGTTGTTGTTGTTGCTTGTCTTCTAAACAATTAATCCTTTCTGTGTGATTCCATTACTATTTTAAGCAATTTCACATCTTTCTGCAAAACTTCATCCTTCAATTGGATTTGCTTTTCAAGTATAAGGTGTTTTTTTGAGACTATAATATGACTAAAATCTCAAAAATTGTGAAGTTCCCTTATCCCAATACCAGAATGTATCTCTGGAGTCAAAACCACTGTTCAAACATCTCCCTAATAAAGTTGGTTGCTTTCTTGGATATAACTATGCTCTGCATCTTAGCAATAAGTACTTCAAAAGTTGAACTGGGGTACATTATTCAGGATAGAAAGGGGAGAAGCTTGTTTCTTTTGTTTTCAAAGTGTCCCACCAAAATTCCAAAAGGAGTGGAGAACAATTCATTTAAGTTTGTAACTTACCAGTTGTTTTTAAGCTATCTAAAATACCACTTTCAATAGCTCAGCAAAGGAATAGTGTGTCTATACATACACACACAAACATATATATAAATATATAATACATATATACTTGTGTATGTTTATGGGTTCAGTTCCAGACCACTGAAATAAAATGGATATTACATTAAAGTGAATTACACATATTTTTTTCTCAGTGTGTATAAAACTATACTGTAGTCTGTTAAAGTGTGTGATAGCATTATACCACCTCTTCATTCCCTATAGGGCTAAAAACAATAACACTAACTTCTGTAACCAATCCTTTATCTATAAGCAAATCCATGAGACATCAATTTTTCGATCCTGGTATTAGCAAAAATCTATAAAAATTACCAAAACTTTATAAAAATATGTCTTAACTTAACCTTGATCAAATATTCCTTCCTTCTACTTCTGACAATCTTGATCTCTAGTGTACTCAGGTATTATTGTAGGATTTGGCCGTACCTTCAGTTTTTCTTTTTCCTATATCAAAGGTGTCTTCAAGGCTTTATCAAGCCTCTCTTGTAAATCCAGTAAAAATCACTATTCATGTCATTCTCTTGGTTTATCATTTATATTTCCCCTTTAATTTTGAAAACTTTAGCCAGCTTCTTTTGTATATCCTGTAGACATTATCTGGGTCACTCTCTTGGGCTATCAGGCTATCACTTGTATTTGCATTTTAAATGTCTTTATCTCCAAATCCACACATTTTTAATGCAATATGTTTGATTCTACTATTTCTGCATCAAGCAAGATTGTTTTATATCTGTCATTCCTTCATTAACATCTTTTAAACATAGTTTATCCATAGAAGCAGACATTACTATTAATGTTGATATTGTGGCTACTAATTTATGGCTCCATTCTTTGAAGATCTCTAATATTTCAAATGTTATAGCATTTTGTGTCATTTTGTAAATGTAGTATTAATTAAAATCGAGAGCAACTTTGCAGTTTAGGGGCATGGGGGTGGTCTCTAGCCCCTCTACTAGTCAGTAAAGTTTCTTATCTCTGTTACGATTTACAGTAGACTAAATAATTTTGGTTCCCACAAAAAGCTGTTTATTTCATATAGTTAGTTCCAAAATCTAATAGTAAAAGTTTTCAATGTTCCAAATTTGTCTGGAACTTTAATTTGTTTACAAGTAACCCTTGATTAACAACCACTTGTTCAGCAACCATTTGAAGTTACAATGATGCTAAATGAGTGGTGCTTACCACTGGCCTTCAAAGTTCAAGCCATCCCAGCACTTCCACAATCACATGATCATAATCTTAGTGCTTAGCAACCAACTCACATTTAAAACTGCTGCAGCATCCCACAATCAAGTGACTGAGATTTGCAACCTGTCCCTGCCAGCTTTCCACAAGCAAAGACAATGGAAAAGGCAGCAGCAAAAGTTGCAGGTAGCTTAGGTAACTCTCCCCCACCAACTTCCTGCAGCTTACCCACTGGCTTTGGTTGTTAGAAGCCGGCAGGAGGTGCTCTGTTAATGACCCACAATCTTCATTGGACTGCAATGGGGACTGCAGGGGTTGCAGTTGCTAAGTGATGCAGACATCTGACACATCACTTTACTACCATGTATTTAGCAACAGAAGTTCTGCTCCCAATTACAATTGTAACTCAAGAACTATCTATATAACTCTTTAATCCAAAATCTTATTTAGCTTTTTCTAAATAAATAAATAATACTAAAAAAAACCCGACTATCTCCAATTTGACATGCTGTGATTGTATGATAAAAAGTATCAATGCAGTCAGCTTTTGAAAATTTGGGATTAAAGGAAAGAAGGAATTTTAACTTAAAGAGGAACAAGTTTTTTTAAAAAAAACTTGCTTTGAAGATAAAATCTAAAATAATGTATTTAAATGAAATTTACTTCAGCAAGATTTGAAGAGAAATGGCTGTATGTTTCGTGTCTTTTTAATTTTTTTTAGAAAGTACTAATTGTATGGCTCAGTTATAATTCCTAAATTATTTTATTTCCATAGGAATTTGCAGGTGAAGACACATCTGACTTGTTCCTGGAAGAAAGAGAGACAGCTCTTCGACAGGCTCAGGAGGAAAAACACAAACTTCAGATGTCTGTCCCTGGCATCCTTAATCCACATGAAATTCCTGAGGAAATGTGTGATTAAAATAAAAATAACCAGTTTTTCTGTTTTCTTTCTGTACAGCTGCTTTGTTGTAGAAGAAAACGGGACTTGGATATTTGTTGACCAAAATGATGCCAATTTGTAAATTTAAGATGTCACCTAGTGGCCCTTTTTTCTTATGTGTTTTTGTATAAGAAATTTTCTGTGAAATATCCTTCCATTGTTTAAGCTTTTTGTTTTGGTCATCTTTATTTAGATTTGCATGAAGTTGAAAATTAAGGCATTTTAAAAATAAAACACTTCATGCCCATTTTGTGGCTAAGAGTAAAAAAAGGCAAAACATATAACTTGTAAAGTCTATTGCAAAATTAAACATTTTTCCAGTTAGAACACTTTTTTTCTTTCAATTAAGGATAATTTTCTAGTCTGCTCTGCAGTCTTGAAAAAAGGGTAATAAAGAAATCCATCAAATTAATTGTTAGTAATAAGATGAATGCTGCATCATCAGACATGAGCAGCTTTGGGGCTAAGTGATAAGGCTAGGCTACTGATATTTGCAAGTCATATGGCAAATTTGCAGCAAGATCATGTGCATATCATCCCATTGTAAAGCAACTTGGAAAAATATGGGAACACAGTACAGTTAGTTATTTTTACACAGTTCTTTTGTTTTTGTGTGTGTGCTGTCGCTTTGTCGACAACAGCTTTTTGTTTTCCTCAATGAGGAGTGTTGCTCATTTGTGAGCCTTCATTAACTCGAAGTGAAATGGTTAAAATATTTATCCTGTTAGAATAGGCTGCATCTTTTTAACAAGCTCATTAAAGAAGAACTCTGGCTTTTGAGATGACTTCTACTAATTTACATTGTTTACCATGCTGTAGTGCTTTAAGAACACTACTTAAAAAGCAAAATAAACTTGGTTTACATTTATTTTCCTTTCTGTGACTGTATTTTTTCATTGGAATGCTCTATTCACTGTGAAGTTTAGAGTAGGAGAAAATTTCAATGTTGATCTGCAAAAACTGTATTTCACAGAAACTTTTATTATCTTGACTGATGAGATACGTAGCATGGACTGGGACAACTCGGCACCCTGCCGTCTGGATGTGAGACAAGTGGCCTCAGCCAACTGAACGTGGGGACAACTCAGAGCCGCAGGACAACAGAGCAGGAAGAAGTAACATTCTACATACGTAAACATATCTCGAGACTTGCAGGATGGTATGATGTTAGATACATATTGAAAACCATTTTAAAAAAGAAGAGTTTTTAAAATTGTAATGGTTTAATTAAATATGGTACGTGCTTCTCTAATTCTTCCTCAAAAAAAGCAGCAACCACTCAGCAATGCTACTCTGGAGTGATTACCTGCTGATCAGGTAAATAAATCACAGAGATAAAAATACACCACTTGAAGGGAAGGCCAGCAAATTACATAGTTATAAACAGAGCTGTGCAGATGTTTAATTCCCCTTCCTTCAAAGCTCTCAAAGGGTATAATTTTTCACAGTCTTTTTGAAATAGATGCAAATCCACCCCGATGTGGTGCCTCTCAAAATGCAACAAGCCAAGGGCCAAAAAAGGGAAGATTTCTTCCTGCAGTTGCATCTTGGGTCATTCCCGTGCTTCTGCTGGCTCTGCCAAATTGTTTTTTGCTTTGTGGTCTCCAGGAGTGGTCTCTAAGATCATCATGCAAACACACAATGCACACACTTTTGCTGGGGAGAGGCTGTGTTGATCAGACACTTGGGGTGAGCAACATTTTTGTTCAAAGGCAAAATTGCAGAAGAGGCAGGTTAGAACGAGCACTCCCAGGAAGGCAGGCATGGGTTTTGGCTTTCAGTATTGATTACTGATACTTCCATGTTGCCTGCTGACTTCTGAAGAAAGGCTCTGGCAGTGCTCTTTTCACTGTAAGGTTGCAGGACTCCAAATATGGATTTGTTCTCTTTTGAGTAGATTTATAATTCAAACATTAAATCCAAACAACACAAGTGAACAGCTGCTTGCTGTCACTGGGTTACAACATTCTAAGGTTGAAGTTTCCGTCAAAGCACTAATTTCTGTAGTCATTTTTTTAATCCCTCATGTTCATTACTAAAAACAATACCGAAGAGAGGATCTGATTCATTTTAAAAAGGAAAAGAAACAACAATCTATAATTAACTAAACCCCATTATAATTTTAAAAACTATCTTTTAAAATCATTTTCAACATGTATCTAAAATTGCAAGTGCTAAGATATTTTTACGTGTAATTGCTGCAGATGTTATCCTCTTCCCGCTTCATTGTCCAGCAGCAGTGAGTTGTCCCTAATTTGGTTAAGGCCATTAGTCCCACATCCAGATGGCAGGGGCGACCCATCATCTGTCCGCACCAAGTAGTCCTAGACCAGGGGTAGGCAACCTTGGCTCTTTTATGAGCTGGCTCAGGAATTCTGGGAGTTATAAAAGAGCCAAGGTTTCCTACCCCTGTCCTAGACCTTCCTATCATGTCTCCTCTCTGATATGGTTGGGGTGGACCCGTCCCATTTGTCTCCATTTTGCCTGGATGGGCAGCAAGCCGTTCCTATCTGAAGGAATTATATAGAGAAGGTGACTTTCAGTCAATACTAAAGCATAATGCCTCCATCTGGCCTAATGTCCTATTTATTTTTGATTCTTCAAAAGAAATGCCTATTCTGTAGATAAGGTGGACTGTAGAATGAAAAGATTTTTCATCCACATTTTTAATGTAAATGTATATTTACTACTAATAAAACTAGCATTTTACTAGTTGTCTCACAATTTTTCAGATTGGTCCTGTTAATTTTTTCTGGATCAAAGGAACTGAGAACATGCAGCATTTTAGGTATTTTCTTTGATATCATGAATCTGCAGGTCCAAAGAGAATTCTGAAGAGCTAGATTTCTTTTGGTTGTCCTTATTTATCGGATTTAATAATCTCAAAAAATAGAAGAACTGCATGTGGGCTAACATTTCAGCCTATAGTGGGGGCTTATGTGGTTGAGATCTTCAAGAGATAAGTATTTACAAAGTTAAAGCTGTCATATAGAGAAAATGAGATCTTAAAACTTGCCATGCTTTATTTGGCCAGTTTTTATTGTATAGGTAAAATTCCCACTTGAATCCTGAAAATTTATGTCCAAACTGTAGTTTATTTATCCAGGAAGATCCTGGAACACATAAGATAAAGGAAATCTTATTTGGACCATTTTCAATCAGATTTCAAACCTGCATACAGTGCCAAAAATTGCATTGATTCTACTTATTGATGATGTCTGGTAGTCAGATGAAGGTAGTGCATCCACCTTAACTCTTGATTTTAGTGGCTTTTGATTTCATCATTTCTTCACGGTATACTTCTGGATCAGCTCTGGGGATCAAAGAGAGGAGGTATAGTTCTGCACTGGTTTTCTTTCTCGGGTTGATCCCAATTGTTGATGGGGGGGGGAGTCTAGTGCACAACCTCTTCTGTGTGGGGTCTTTCTAGGCTCAACATTCTTCCCCAATCCTATTTGACATCTACATGCAAGCCTATAGGTGAGGCCATCCAATTGCATAGGATAGACCAGGAGTTGGCAACCTGCAGGTCTGGAGCCACATGTGGCTCTTTCATCCCTCTATTGTGACTCCCAGTCCTCCGCCATTTGCAGTCCCACAAAAAAAAAGAAGTACTAAAAAAGTTCAATAAATCAATTCAACTCCTTGGGGGGGGAAGATTTCTGCTGTGCCTCCGTTTTCTTCAACTCGGACGGAGCAGAGCCACCCAAGCTGCTAGCAGCCAATTGAGTGCAAAGGAAGAGGAGGAGAGTGTGAGGCTGGCTGGCCAGGTGAGGAGAAGATCAGCGATGCTGACTGGCTGGCTGGGGAGGAGGGATCATGGTTGAAGAAAGAGAAAGCTTCCTCCTTGGGCTAAGCTCCCAATTGATCCACACTTTCCCTTCATCTCCAGCAGCGCGCAACAGTACAGTACTCAAGGGGAGCAGCTTCCTCCGCCCTTCCCCGATATAGAAGCCGGTTTGCTAACTTGGGGGTGAGATTTTTGCGATTCCCGCAGGAACACACTTGGAACCAGCTTAGCTGCTGCCTCTGCCTTTTCCCTCTCCAGCATCTCCCTTCCCTGACTCTCCAGGTTCCTCTGCCGAAGAAGTGCGGGCGAAGGCTTTCGGAGAGTTTAGGTTGCTCTGCATCGCTGTTGCCAGGAGCGATGCTGTCTGAGGAAGCCAAGCCAGTCGAGGGTGCCAAGTCCGGAGGTAGCAAAGCAAGAACAAGATAGAAATAGTTTGAGGGGGGGGCGCATGTGGGCGCTTGGACCGGATTAATGAATGAAGGGGCAGAAAGGGAGGGAGGAGAGAAGAGTAAACATTGGGATGAAGGAGAAAAGGTTTTTTTGTCTTTCTCCTGTTCTTTTTTTTCCCTGCAATTCTTTTCTATTTTTCGCTTTGTAGTTTTTATAGTTTGCACTGGCTTTTACTCTTTTCATTTATAATCCTTAATAAAAATATTTGAAAAACAGAATATTGTAATGGGCCGTTGACTTACCTGAGCGCCTTTTCTCAGCACGGAGATGGATAATCTACCAATGGGTTGAGACTGTATTCCTGCCCAATCAGATCAGTCAGCCAAAGTTGCCACGCCCGTCCTGGACCATGAGATCCCAGTCTTGACACAAGCGAAGCCATTGACTGACAGTAAGACGTTTTGGCTCAAACTAAATATCCCCTATTATCCTTGTCTAGAAGGGTGGGTGTGGATTATCCATCTCCATGCTGAGAAAAGGCGTTCAGGTAAGTCAACGCCCCTTCTCCAGCACTGGAGATGGATAATCCACCAATGGGACATACCAAAGCCTATTGTCCCTTGGGTTGGGGAATAGACTGGTCCTGTGTGTAACTTTGGTCTAGCACTTGCTGGAGAGCCCTCCTTCCGAAGGAGGCCTCTGCAGAGGCGTACTTGTCGATTTTGTAGTGGCGAATAAATGGAGAGGGCGAAGCCCAAGTGGCCGCCCTGCACACATCTTCAACAGAAACTTGCATGGC